AGACACATTTGACATACAGTATATGTAACGTAAGGTCCGTGTTAAGGGCTGTGCAGGAAAATAAAGTGGAAGAGGAGGCCAAGCGTCGGGGAGCAGCTAGTGGTAAGGGGATCTTTCTGGAAAGGAGATTTTGAGGTAGGTTTAAGTTGGAACATCAGACAAGTTTTTCCTGGATAAACCCTTCTGGAGGAAGCTCTTGGGCACCCGAGGGGGGACTGCTTAGCTGAAGCTGACTGGGGAACAAGGAGCGACCCAAGAAAGAAACCCAATATTTATTATTGCGGCCGCGGTCTGGCATTCTGTCAGCACGTTTCTCATTTAACGCTGACAGCTCCCAATGAGATAGAATTATCTCCACCTCCCACAGAATAGGGGAGGCTCCGTGATAACCAGCAGCTGGCCAGGGGTGCCCTTCATTCTTCCTGTTGCTCCCTCCCCTTCCCAAGGACTCTGGCCCCAAATCGCTTTCCAAAATGCCCTTGGGGAACCGGAGATGACCAGCACCAGAGGAATTCCTGCGGCAGGGAAAAGCCCTCACGTTCCCACAGGTGGCACCTGTGATCTCGGGGTGCGGGTGGGCCAGCCTGGGAAGGACTCGGTGACATCACTCTGCCGTTCGCAGCCTCGCATATCTCGACACAAAGCGGAGGCAGCCGCAGGGTTCCCCGCCAGGCGGTGCCCAGGACACCTCACATCACCTCAGCCCGCCCGCGTCCTGCATCTGGGGCCGGCCCGCCCTCCCAAGGGAGCCACCTGGGTGGGGAGGAGAGGGAGCCCGAAGCCACGCACACCTTATCCTCAGCTAAGCTCAGGGATTGCGAAGTAGATTAAGGGCATTCGCTCACGAGGACGCCTACCTAACCTGGATCCCCAAAGATCCGGGCTGCTCACCAACAAAGTCTCGGGCTCCGGGCCCCGCGGGCTGCGGGTGCGGGTGCGGGGCCGCATGGGGCCCCCTTCCTCGCCAGCCGACTTCCTGCCTTTTTATCAGCACCGCCGCCAGGGGGCGCGCCAGGGCCGGACGACGGAGGGGTGGCCGGCTCTGGGCGCCTTGGTGCGTTCCATCGACATTTGTGGCTCCCCTATGGTGCTTACGCGGGGCAGGCTTCTGGCACTGCCAGGACGCAACCTCTGCGCTGGGCAGTTTAAAGAAATCTTGTTCAGTGAATTCTTGGGCCCACCACCCAGTCTATGGCCGGCCTGCTTCCAGGCTGTCCTCTCTGGTTGTCCAGCCTTCTAGTGGCTCCCAAGGAGCTCGCTTGAACCGTTCTGAGGCTCCTATAGCTCTTAGGAGAAAGTTAAAAGCCCCTCTCTCCGGTGAGAGACCGTGGGGTCCCCACGCGCCCCCTCGTGCCGCTCCCCTTGTTCTCTTAGGCCCTCTGGACGGGACACCTGCTGCTTCCCGCCCCCCCCCCCCCCCCCCCCGCAGCATTCCCCTCTCTTTTCACCCTCCCCAGGCCGGTCTGGGCGCCAGGTTTCTGGGCCCCGAGCAGCTTTCGGGCACGTTCCAAGCAAAAATGAATAGCACGGCGCTCGATCGGAGATTTCCTCCTCCCTCCCGGCGACAGACGGGTAGCCCCCTGCGGGCGGGCTGGGGCCTGGCCGCTGTCGTCTTTGTCTAGGCGGTGCTCCGCAGGCGGGCCGGGCGAGCGGCGCGGAATACACAGCTGCCGACGGCGTGCTCCGGGGGAGCGCACATCAAAAGGAACCTCGGGGCAGCGAGAGAGGTGGGGGTGGGGTGGGGCCGGGCCGTCACCCGGCAGCGCCCAGCTCCCCGATACTCACACACACAACACCAAGGGCTTCCCACGTGCCAAACCTCAACCCCCGGCAACCCCCCCCCCCCCCGCGGCCCTCCCCGCTTTCTTGGCCCTCTTTCTAGAGGCCACCCTCCCATTCAGGGCGGAGGCCTCGGGGTCCACCGCACCGACGCCGCCACCTCAGCCACCCCGGCTGACCTTGGAGTGAATTTAACCCTTTCCCTCGTTGACTGCAACCCACCCCGAGGTTCAGGGTGCCTATTAGAGAGGCGGTGTTTCCGTTCGTGACACGTGGCGCGGGGGCGTCGTCCCCCTCCCGGGTAGGGACCGTTTCTGTGTTCCACCGGCAGCGCTGGGAGGGTGGGAGGAAGGAAATTAAGCCTGTGTTGAAGGAAGGACACCTGGCAGGGGAGGGGAAAGGGCTCAGGAATCCCCTCCTCTGGGGAGATTTCAAGTGGGGGGAAATGCCCACACCCGCTTCCATTCTCCAGGGCGCCATGCAGGGCAGCTAGTGGGTTCCCACACCTCCCGGCCAGGCCTCCCCTCCTTTACTTCCCCAGGCTGTGCTGTCCGCAGAAGTCCGCGATTCCCTCCTCCCACCCACTTGTTTCCTGGCCCCTCTTCCCTTGCCTGCCTCAAGCTCCTGACCTGGGTCTGTGGGTGCTCCCAGGCTGCCTGGAGGAGGCATTGGGTACAAATGGCCCTGCAGAGAATGACCAGTCTTGCCTAGGCTGCCCAGGGCTACTGGCTGGGCATGTCTCAGCCAACGCTCAGCCCACCCACAGCCTCTGGGATCTTTTGCCCCCACCCCCCGGGGCTGGCACCTATGGACTCTGAGGGCCCATAAATGACCCCAAGAGGTCATCTAGTCCAGCTCCTGCCTCCTGGCCACACTGAATCCACGATGGTGTCCTGGTGGCCATGGCAGGTAGACCTGCTCAGCTCTCAGAATGACAATTATGGGCTCTGGAGCCTCCCAAACTGCCAGGCAGAAGGTGAGATCCAGCAGGCACCTCTGATCAGAAAACCAGGGGAGAGTCCCCGTTGGGCAGGACAGAACACAGGGGAGGACCTAGCAGGCCGTGTGGGGTGTATGGAGGGCTCTCTACCCCTAGTGCTGGGACCCCGGAGTGCCACAGGCAATGATTATGGCAAACCCACTGTGACCCTCTTTCCAGGTGAATCAGAAACAAGGCACCCCAGAATTAGCCCATCACGGGAGCCTCTCTAAAGAATCCTCATTTCTGCAGCCTCCATCCCAGTCGTTGTTCTTGGGCAGGTTGGGGCTTTTTTCCGTCTTGCTCATCCTGCCCCTCTCAGCCTCCCTCCTTCCCCCTTCCCCTTCTCTCTCCTCCAGCTCCCCCTGCTAGTCTCCCGCCCTCTTCTCTCTGTATCGATGTCTCTCAGTTTCTCTCTCTCTCTCCTTTCTTCACTCTGTTTCTCCCTGTTCCCCCCTTCCCTCCTCTCTTTCATCTCTCCCCCCACCCCACCCCACCCCTCCAGCGGAGCACCCGGCTAGGAACGCGGCAGGAGCCATGACAAGCCCAGGCGGCTCTCCCGACCCTTGGTGCCCCGGGGCCAGTTCCCCGAGCTCCCCGCGCCCACAGCAGCGGTGTAGGGAGAGGGCTCTCAGGATGGGCAGGGGCAGCAGGTTCGAGCTGTGGGCACGGGTGGCCCAGATCAAAGGCCAGGAGTGTCTGGCCCCTGGCCTGGACTTCCTCCGGCCATGCCCCCCACCTGGTAGAGAGGTGGCCTGCCATTCCAGGCCTCTGAGGGACTTGGGGGCCACTTCTTTGCTGCTCCTTCTGCCGCCATCCCCTGAGCAGTGGCCCTTGCCCCCCATCACTGGCCTTGCTTTCTTCACCCCTGGCCCAGGGCTGCTCCAGGGTCCCGGGTGCCTCTGGGGCCGTGGGTGGCCTTGGGAAGCAGGTCGCCCAGGTGACAGGGGGCAAGTCCCCCAAGAATGGCCTCCATCCCAGCACCACTCAGGGCTGAGACCTAATTCTCTGGAGTCTGGAGAGGGAGAGGACAGAAAGACCCCAGGGGGCTGTGGTGGGACTTTTCTCCTATGGTGGGGGGTGGGGGTGTTGGATACATTTGGCTTCCACCCAGGGAAAGGACCCGTTATCACCGAACCCCAGGTGGGAGCTCAGGCAGAGAGTTGGGGGGGAGGGTGCCCTGGCGGGCAGCACAGTCTTGCAAGGACCCCAGCTGCGCCCTGCTGGGGCTGCTGCGTTTCACTGGCCCCAAACGGTTCATCCATAAGATCCAAATGGGACTGCGGGCACTGCTTCTGACCCGAGCTGGAGGCCGGGCCTGAACCCCTCGTGGAGGAGAAAGTGACCTGGCTCCGCGAGCAGGAAATGCAACTGGCCGCTGGTGTCAGTTGCAGGAAATGCAAAGGCAGCAGGAGGTCCCGATACCGATCTGATCCCTGACAAAAGACTCAAATGACACTCAGCTCCGTCCCCCGGCGCCGCCCGCAGCCAGACCTTCGAGCCTCAGCGGACCCTTCTGCGCGCCTCTCGGACACCCGGGAAGCGACCTCCCGCCGCCGGGGTCGAGTGGCCGGCAGGCTCGCCGGCTCCGGAGGCTGGAGGCTGGGAGGGGTTGTATTTCCCAACCCCCCTCCGAGACCCTCGGATCCTGTCCTGCCCGAGCGAGGCTTCTGGAAACATCCGTGTGCTTTCTACTCTCGATTTCTCACGCGCCCAAGTCCAAAGGGGTCACGGTCCCCCGAGAGACAAGGAGCCACCCATCAATGCCCACGCCAACCCGGCACCACGTGAACGCCCCCGTCAAAGCCCCAGCTTCTTCAACCTGGCTGGCGGGGGGCGGGGGGGGGGGCGCCGCAGCGGTCCCGGGCCAGCAGAGGGTCCAGCGTGCCACCCCCCCCCAAGTTCCCACTGTGTCCGGGGCGCGGGCTTTGCCCAAGTTTGCTGGGCGATGCCCTTCCCGGAGCCCGACTCGTGGGCCGGGCGGGAGGGGCGCGTGATTGACAGGCTGAACTACAGACTCATCTCTTACCTTAGGCCGCGGGCGCTGATTGGCTGCTCGCTGACATCCTCAAACCCGGCTGCTCCGCGCTGGGCTCGGGAGGGGGGCGGCTGCGGGTGGAGGTGCGCTTCTGACAAGCCCGAAAGTCATTTCCAATCTCAAGTGGACTTTGTTCCAACTATTGGGGGCGTCGCTCCCCCTCTTCATGGTCGCGGGCAAACTTCCTCCTCGGCGCCGCTTCTAATGGAGCCCCACCTGCTCGGGCTGCTCCTCGGCCTCCTGCTCTGTGGCACCAGGGTCCTCGCCGGCTACCCAATTTGGTGGTAAGACTCGCCTCTTGTCTGCCCGCGGCCCGATTTCTCCGCCGAGTCCCGGGGAGGTGGGGGGCGCCGGCTGGGGGTGGGCTGCAGCTCCTTTCTCCTTGCCTCCCTCCAGCCCCCCACTCGCCCACCCCTCCTGGATTTTCTGCTGGTGTCGCCTTCAGAATCCAACTCCTGGCTTTTCTGATAATCACCATTTTCCCTGCTACTCGCTGCAGAGGCTGGAGGACTTTTCCCGGCTCCGATGGTCTCTGATTCTTAAATCCTCACCCTCCACCCGTCCCCATCTGGGGGCCCCGAAGACCCTCGATTTGCTTGCAGTTGGGTTTCTGGAAATCCAGAGCTGTCCCTGGGGCCCAGCCACTCCTCTTCTCCATTTTGGGGTCTTCATGGGCAAAATCATCTTGTTTCTTCATTGCCACCCCCATCTCCGCCGGCGCCTCCATCAAGAGATTTCCCCCACAATAACCCCCTTTTGCCTTCATATTTTAGACCCCAATGGCTTCAGGGACCCCTGGGGCAGGGGAGCGGGCGGGGGGTGGGTGGATTTCATCAGATTCTCCCCACTCTGCTCTAGATTAATCTTGAGCCTCAGAAGTGAATATGGTATTTGCTGATCCGAGATGCCATTGAATTCAGATTTTATTCATTTCTTGTTTGTCCATCCTGGCAAAAGGGGGGCTCTTTGAAAATGTAGTTGTTTGGGAGGGGGTGGGTTTGTTCTTTGACCAAAAACCCAATTCTCCATGTCAAATTCGTTCCTTTTGGAAAACCGAGGACCGAGGAGAAAGGGAGAGAGGGAAAGGAGAATTCTGTCCCCGAGAAATGCGGATACAAAAGACATTTTTAGTAAATAAGGCTGGGAAACCAGGCGCGGTGTTTGGGGGGGTGTGCATGTATGGGGGGGGACTGACAGAGGAATAAACAGCCCTTTGGGAGCCCCAGTTCCAGGGAGTCCCCTTGTTTTCCAAGCAGCCCCACCGCCCCCTGGCAGGTCCCAGAGGCCAGAGGGGAAAGACACACTGAAACCAGTTCTCTAAATTATACCCCGCCTGTCCTCAGTCTCCAGCCCCCTGCATTCCGGAAAACTTTAATTAAAGAATCTTACCCTCCTGGACGTAGGAGAGCCTCGGCCCGGGGGGTGGGAGGTGAGAAGGAAGAATTTGGGATCCGTGAGTAAGAAGAGGGCCTGTGGCCCCTGAGCTGAAAGTCAGAGAGGAAGGCCACCAGGGCGCGGTGCCCCCTGTGCGTCCCCCTTTCCCTGACTCGCCACCCCCTCCCCAGGCCAAGCTAGGGGGAGCAGAGCCAGCATGGTTCCGGGGCCACACCCTGAGTCTGCCTCCAGTTGTTTGGGGGCCAGGAGGGTGGCAGGAGCAAGGCATGGCCAAGGGTCTGTGTGCAGAGGGTGCTGAGAGTTGCTCCCAGGACATACATCCAAGGGAAAGTCTTTCTTCTGCCCAGCCCATCCTTCCCGCGGCTTTGGGCTGGCCTGGGGCCTCCGGTACATAAAGAAGTCCAAGGGGTGGCTGGGGCAGACAGGGATTCCAGGTCGGGGGCTCTGCCTGTTGGGGGAAGACCGCTGCCTTTCCAGCCCTTTCTGACCCTCTTTCCATCCCTGGGCCAAGGCCATGCTGTTCTTTACCTTCACGGGGACTGGTGGGGGAGGGTATGGAGAGAAGGCTTGGAGCGCCACAGGCTGCAGGGGTGAGGAAGGGGCCAGGTCCCCTACCCTAGTAACTGGAGGAGGGCACTTCCCAGGGCGGGGGGCAGTGTCTGTGGGGAAGGGTTGTGGGGGGGGAGAGTCTGGTGTGTAATGGTGTGTTGGGGAGCATCTAGATAGCAAGATGTTGGAAAAACCTGGAAGGCCAGGACATCGATGTGCCCAATGCTGGACACATGGCTTGTTTGGGGGCTGGCGGGGGGCGGGGGGAGACAGGGATGCTGCTTTGTCTGAGCCGAGGAGAGGGGTGTGTGTGTGTGTGTGTGTGTTCTAGGTCTATGATCATAAGAGGTGTCAACTGTACACGAGTGTGTTTCTGCATGTGGAAGAGTCCGTTCCCGCACCGGGGCCACCATGGATGTAAACTCACGTGAGATGGGGGATCCGTGGCTGTGACAGGGTGTGCTGCGTCCCTATACACAGTGTCAGCAAGTGGCTGGTGCTGGGATGTGTGTGTATGTGTGTGTGAGACAGAGGAAGTCTAGAAGCGTCTATGCCCACGTAAAGGTCAGCCCCTGTGTATGCTTGTGACACTATGCATGACTGTTCATGACCGGGCATGCGAGTGGTGTGTGTGAGTGCGCGCGCGCGCGTGTGTGTGCATGCGTGTGCGCGCATGCCTTCGTGACGGTGTCAGGGGAAAGCCCCACAGCTGTCTTTGTGCATGGATATCGGTGCTCATGGCAATGACCTGATTGTGCTTGTAAGTAGGAGTGTGAGGCTGTGTCTGGGTCCGCCTGGGACCCTGTCCTCAAGTGCCAGTGACTGGTGGGGCCCAGGGTTGTGGATATGTTTGCAGACCTATGACTTACGGGTGTGAGTGACATCCTGAGCTTGGGTGCTGGGTGGGTGTCCGTGGTCCTGGAGGGGCAGTCCGGCAGGAGACAAAGGTCTAACAAGGAAGTTGCGAAGGGCCCGGCTGACCTAGGGTCCCGGGCTGGGCAGTGTCGGGGCAGGGGACAGAGCCCTTCTTGGCATGAGCTCATCCTGTCTGCCTGAGGACAGCGGCCAGCATCCCTCCCCTCTTAGGCCGTTTGTCTTTGGTCTTGGAGCTGGGGTGGAAGGGAAGGCACCTTCGTAGAGCTGGGGCTGGGCCTGGGACGGGGATGGTAGAGTGGACAGGCCTCGGATTCCTGTTCCCACTCTGCCTCGAGGGCAGTTGGGCAGATTCCAGCTCTTTCAGCATTGGAGCCCAGCACAACCTGCTCTCTTTAGCCCACCCAGCTCACGCATTCCCCAGGAGGGATTTACAGGGGGAATGGTTTAGCTGGGATTGCTGTCCCTGCCACCTCTCAAGAAAGGCCCCTTAAACCCCCAGGGGCCAGCGCTGCTCGGGCCCCAGCCCCGAGAGAAGGCAGCCCAGAAAGTAGAGCCATCAGGGCCTCAGATGGAGGCTCAGGGAAGGAAGAGATGGGCTCCAGGCCTTCCCAGCCAGGTAGGGGTAGAGTGGGGACAGGAAGCCGTGACAGCCACACTGATTTCTATAATTCTCGTCAGTCCCAGTTAGCGCCTGCTGGAGGAACTTGTCTTTCTTCTCCTTCTTGGGGGAAAAAAGAACTCCCTTATTAGGGCCCATCGTAGGGCCTGCTACATTCCAGAGACAGAGGCCCTGATGGAAGGGGCCTACGCTGGGGGTCGGGAGCCCACCCTGCCTCTGTGTGACCCACCCACTTGGGGCTCTGCTTCCTCTTAACGCTGGAGATTCACCAGCCTGTCCTGCCTCACAGCTTGGGTGAAAGGGTTCTGCAGAAGTCAAGGGCAGTGAGCTGGGAAATAAGACACCTGAGTTCTCTCTCCACCACCTGGGACCCATTCCCCCACTCCAGCGGCTGCCCCAAGCCCTGCCTCAGTTTCCCTCTCTGTCAGATGTCGTGCTGCCTCCCCCACTCGCTCCCACCTCCACCCGCCTTTCAGAGGCTTGTGAACATGTTCAGTCAAACCCCGTGGGGGTCAGTGGGCTGGGCCCAAGGAGGCACCTGGAGACTGCGGGGGAGGAAGGCCCCAGGCCAGGTGTTAACACTTGTAACAGGCAGGAATTACAGCTGGCTGGGGCTGGGGCTGGGGCTGGCGAGGAGCTGAGCTGGCTGGAGGCTGTTGATCCCACAGACAGACAGACAGACAGACAGACAGACAGATGGGCAGATCGGATGGCCAGGCTTGAACCGGGTGGTCTCCCTTCCAGGGCAGGCCTTTCCCTGGGGGGATTTTGGGGGGGTGGTGGTGGAAATTAATCCAGGTCTCTTGGAAGTGAGTTAACAACCCTCTTGCCCACCCCACCCCCACTGTGGGTGGGGCTTGCTGTCTAAGGGAAGCAAATTTGGTGGTGGATCTGTTTGTATTCTTATGATGGGACCACATTTTGTTTAAAACAAAAACAAAAACAGGTCAAATGTTATAATACTACCAGGAGCCTGGAGCTGAGTTATTTTCTTGCAAGAACCTGCTTTAGCATAGGGGAAAAGGCACGGGGGAAGGGGTAGCAGTCAGGCAAAGTTCTCCCCGAATCTCAGAGCATTTTTCCAACAGCTCTGGGGCCAAGAGGTGAGCGATGGGTGGAGTCTGGGCTCTGAGCATCACTCACACCCCAGGAATCTTGAGGGCCCTGGGACTGAGACAGCTGCCTAGTAGGAAGACCTTCTGGGAGTGGGGGTGAGTCAAAAGAGTCAGGTGCCAAGTTCTTTAGTGGACACTCTCTCTCCCCACAGCTTTCCCAGTAACAAACCCAGCCAGCCCCCAGCAGCCCCCACACTCTGCTATCTGGGTGCATGCTCAGTAACTGATGACGGTGGAGAAACTGAGGCAGATGGGGAGGGGGCTAGGTGGAAATCCCCAAAGAGTAGACTCAGCCAAGCGAGCATCTCTAAGCCACCTCACTACAGAACTGAATGTTAAAAAGACCTGAATGGGACTTGGACAGACCAAAGATTGAGACTACAGTGTGGGCAGTTGAGAAGGTGATCTGGACACAAAGTAGGGGAAGGGAGCTATGACCTTAGGGTTTTCTCTAGACTTTGAATAAGTCTGCGTGGGAGACAAGGAGCTTGGGGTCAGGGCAGGAGAGGTGAGTTTTCTCAGAGGAGGATGGAGCTAACTGACTTTTCTGGGGAGAGTGGGGGAAAAGGAAGATCTTCCTGGCCTCAGATTGTGGTGAGCTCAGGAGTGGAGTAGGACCTGGTCTTCTAGCCTTTTCCACCCACCCTGCTGGGAGCCGTAGAATCCTTCTAAAGCCACCAGGGAGGGAAAGACATTCTCTACCTCTGTCCCTGCTTGGGAGAGGAGCTAT